CAGGACATCAAATGACATATAGCACTGGGCAAGTCAGCTGCAAAGGACCTCTTTCAAGTGCTAAAGAGCAAAGGTGTCTCCTTGAGGACTAAGATGTGCCTGACACAAGCCATGGTATTTTCAATTGCCTCATATGCATGTGAGAGCTGGACAATGAATAAGGAAGACCAAAGAAGAATTGATGCTTTTGAGTTATGGAGCTGGTGAAGGATGCTGAAAATATTATGGACTACTGAAAGAACTAACAAACCTGTCCTGAAGGAAGTGCAGCCAGAATGCTCCTTGAAAGTAAGAATGTCTGGACTTCGTCTGACCTACTTTGGTCATGTTATCAGAAGGGACCATTCTCTGGAGAAGGATGTCATGCATGGTAAAGAGGAGCGTTGATGAAGGAGGAGAAGGCCCTCAATGAAATTGATTGACACAGTGGCTGTGGCGATGGACTCAAGTATAGTAAGGATCGTGGAGCTGGTATGGGATCAGGTGGCATTTGGTTCTGCTGTGCATGGGGTCGCTATGAGTTGGAGATGATTTGATGGCACCTAACAATAGAGTCTTCAAGGATAGAGTCTGCAGGTTTGAGAAGGCAGGAGGACTCAAGGGTTTATGTATCTTTATTTAGGTGTATTATGATTGTGTTGCCTGCTTAGCGTCCCCACAGATACATTGATTAAGAGGATATCTGTACACGAGCGTAGGGTTTAAAGAGAGATCTATCCTGGAGATTTGCGTTAGAAAGTTATCAGTGTATAGATAGCAGGTAAAGTCTGGGAGACAGAATGCGGAGTCATGGGAGTTGAGTATAGACAGAGAAAACTCCCACGGCTAAAAGCCTCATTGGAGTGGGTTCAAGAGAAGGCAGTGAGTGAGGATGGGGCAGAGAACTCCAAATACAGAAAACTCTTTCAAGTTGTTTTTCTCTAAAATGGCACTGAGGTGTGGTAGCTGAAGGTGGATCTAAAGCCCAGAGAGAGGTGGTGGGAGTTCATAGTGATGGTGGCATTGGGAGATTCATATCCAGTAAGTTTTTACATAGGTGAAAATGATCTGGTGGATGCAGGACAGAGGATCAGTACCTGTGGTGGAGTTAGATCTAACACCCAGGAAAAGATTGCTTATGGATTGGAGCATCAATACTCCATCCATAGTAACTGGAAAGAAGAGCCAACAAATAAGGACACATGTAAGTTTTAATTTTTAATTGTGGTAAATATATATGTAATGAAACTTTTGCTATTTCAGCATTTTTTTACATTTACAGTCAGTGACACTGATGACATTCACCTTGTTGGTCAACCATCACTATCTGTTTACAGATTTCTACATTATTCTTAACAGGAGCTCATTGTCCCCTAAGCAGTGATTCCCCCTTTCTTCCTCTCCCTCCTGCCTCTGGTAACCACACATAAACTCAAGTCTCTATACACTTGCCTGTTCACGATATCTCATATAAATGGAGTCATACAATATAGAAACATTTAGATATTGACTGAAATAAAAGTTCTTATGAGAAAGAAAGGTTATTTTTTTTTAGTTGAGTGGCCCTGGAACCTTTCCTAAGGAAGATGAGATTTGAGTTTGACTTTGAAGAACTTATATGTCAGGCCTAAGCTGAATTCATTTTTATATTGAGCTTTTTTATGTTTAGCTTCACTTTGCCTTCCACATGTCAGGATTTTGACATAGAGTTTAAGGCCCATTTTTTGGATGAGAAATAAAATATCATTCATTGTAACACTCTAAACAGCACCTAATATGAAATTATATTTCCCCAAAGTAACCCTTTTTCTTTTCTTTTCCTCTTAATTTCAGGAACAAACTCTTGCCCTTAGGAAAGAAGGAATTGGAGTTGTTCTTGATTCTGAACTGCCCCATTTGATTGGCATTGATGATGACCTTCTGAGTACTGGAATCATCTTATATCACTTGAAGGTAGAAACTGTTTAAGTGGAACATTCTGATTTTGTTTACAGTTTTTTTCTTAAGAAATTAGCAGACTCTATGACCATGAACACAATTATTACAAAATACACAACAAATATTTGATCCCTTTGAGGATTTTCAGCAGTTAATTGTAATTCTGTGGTGTTAAAAGTTTCCATGTTTGGTAATTCTAATGCTAAGTGATGATCCATTGATTTTGGCTTCTGTTTTATAGAATCAGTAAGAGGTAGGCAAAGAGAAAATAGATTGAGGAAGATCAGTTATAATCACTTAGAACTGGGATTTGTTTTATATGGTTTCCTGGCCCTTCGTGGTAATTATAAAATTGTGCCCCCCACATACATGATCGGGCTTGGTCCTGAGCAGGCTATTCATGTCAAAACAGCAGGATTCTGTATCTGTAGGAATTGTTGCCTACCTCTGTGACCTTGACTTCTGTATCCTTTCTCTGATCCATGACTTAAAACGGGAATGGTACTGTAGTTATGTTTTCTGGGTTTTCTTAAGTTATATTAAAGATGTAAGACAACTCCTGGCCATTAGAGAAGAAATTCATCAGAACGGATGGGGCAATATCAGTGTGATTACTGTCATGAACAAATTATTGGTTCATGTAATTATTCGGCAGTAAGCATTGGGAACTCTCCACTGTCATTTTCCAGAAAACATGGGGTGTTATTATGGAGTTTCAGTTAACTCTAATTATGCCTGCCTGGGACGTTGTTCAGCCCATCAGTCACCAGGTTTCTTGGGTTTAAATAAAACATGGTGAAACAAGCCATTTCTGTTGTTCATATTAATAAATTTTACTTGACATTTTTCCCCAGGAGGGTCAGACATATGTTGGTAGAGAAGATGCTTCAACAGAACAAGATATTGGTGAGAATCTTTGTTAATATTCTCTTCCCAATGATTTTTTAAAAATTGTATTTAACGACAAATTTCTTTTGAATTACTAACTTTGAAGTACTTATAAAAAAGAAAATATTTTTCAAATGTAATATTTATCATTATATGTGTTTCTGGAATTTTGAACAAAACTGAAATGAATAATACAGAACATTGGTTGAGTAGATGAAATGGATCTGTGAATCCTTTCTACCCACTCTACGTAGTCTATTTCCTGTCACCTTTTTCAAGAGTATAGTTATTTAAATCACTGTACACTTGTCACAGTAGGAAAGTGATTGATGGAAATATGTCAGCAGACACAGGTAAAGGACATAAGCCCTCTTTTATGGGCAAGATATAGACATTTATCTGCCCACATGTGACTACAGAAAGTAGAAGGCAACACAGCATATACTCAGATGGAGACATAGATGGATTTTTTGTTATTGAAAAATCTTGATGATTTACATACATAATCAGTGACCTAGCCTGAGTTGAGTAAGGTACTGCTTTCGTTTTCCCTGCAGGCCATTATTGGTGATGCTGTTCATGTGTGTGTGTGTGGCAGAATGGAAGTTGACAGCAATAGGAATTATACCTTCCCAGCTGTTTCCAAAATTGCTGGCTATAAACCTGCTTCCTTGCCAAGTTTAAGTCAATAATCAAGTCAACCCCACGATACTCTAACTTGTCATTACTTTTTACTGTGAGACTGGGAGAGTTGAAGGTTAATTCCCAGAAATCCTCACGTTTCGCTGCTTTTGAGTAGAAGTAAGCATCTGATCTCATTTTCTAATCATTGGATTGTGTGTTTGGCCTTTGGGGTAACTATAAATGGTGATGAATGGTGAGGACACACACTTTCTGTAAGCAGAGAAGTTCAGTAGCCTAATTCTTTGGAAATAGTAAGAGCTATTTGGTCTGTACTTCTAAGAAGCCATCTAAGAATTGTGCTTAAAATAGTGTAAATTTATTTGACAAGTTTATTTGACTAGCTATTCATCAAGGAAGAATAACCCAGAATAGTCATAACAGGATTAGATAAACCTAAGCAAGCACATGCTGTCTAAGAGGTTTGTAGAGGCCAAATACTCTCAAAATTGATAAAGGCTGTCACTGTGCATATCTTCTGCACAGCTTCTAGAAACTTCCTTGGCTCTCCCAGGATCTGTACCTTTGGTTTATGGAGGTCATGATGAGTCTTGACCTGTGGAGCACTTTTGCCACTTATATTTCTCTTTGGACTCTGGGTGGATGATGGAGCAAATATTGTTTAGTATTAAACAGATTGACTCAGTGGTAATCAATGAAGACAAGTTACTGAATTATTTTCTTCCTGAAGAGAAAATAAATTAATATTCTTTAACTTATTTCCTAATACAGGTGATGTCCAGACCCTTTGTGGTAGCGTGCAAGGGATGCTGTCAGTTGTATCAGTTGATGCCACTAAAATTCAATTTTCTCACTAAACATAAATGTTTACTTAATAACATTTTAATGTAAAGGGAGGGTATTCAAGAAAAAAAAAGTTGGGAATGATTCTCAAAAAAAATTTTTTTTTTTGCCAACTTAGTTCTTCATGGCCTTGATTTGGAGAGTGAACACTGCATCTTTGAAAATATTGGAGGGACAGTGACTCTGATACCCTTGAGTGGGTCTCAGTGCTCTGTGAATGGTGTTCAGATCATGGAGGCCACACACCTAAATCAAGGTATCTGGTTTTTGGTTTCCACAGTTCATTGTATGTATTGCTGCTAGAAGATAATTTTACTAGACAATGAGGGAATATATGTATTTTATAATTAATTACAGATAAAAAAAATGAAGACCATTTACTCAACTATGCAGTTTACTGTTTTGCCAAAGACCTTATTTGTTGAATTAAACTTGAACATATATATGATTGTCTTTAGTTATTGCTGTTATGAAAATGTGACATTAAAGGAATGCTTTTTAAATGAAAAGAAAACCTTCAAATGCAAAACTCAAGCACAGTAGTTTCACTTAATTTTATTTCTATTATTTATATTCTTTTTATGAATAATTATGCAATAGGATCTGGCATTATATACATATTTTTTTATATTTGGTAAATAATTTTTTTAAGTATATAGAAAAGTTGGAGCTCTGGTGGTGTAGTAGGTTAGGCACTTGACCGCTAACTGGAAGTTCAATGGTTCAAACACACCAGCTGCTCCACAGATATAAGATGAGACAATCTACTTCCATAAAGATGTACAGCCTCGGAAACCCAAGGAGGGTCTCTATGAGTCAGAAACACCTCGATGGTAGTGAGTTTGATTTTTTTTTTTTTTAATAGAAAAGTTACAAGAATTTTAAAAGAGCTTTTGAGAGAGAAAGAATATGGCATTTTACAGATATTCCATACATTCAGTCCCTCTTCCAACTGAGATTCTGAGTAATTAGGTAAAGCAGATACAAATAATGATACTGGAGTTATGAGCAACTAAGGAGAAGATAAAGTATTAGATGCAGTGAAAGTGAAGAAACAGAGCAGGTTAAACACCTGGGAAAAATAGACAGGCCTGTCCAACCAGCAGAGATGGAGAGGAGTCATTAGAAATACAAAAGAGGTTGAGGAGGAGGGAAAGAAGAAGAAAAAAGGAAAACACATCATGGAACCCACAGGCATTGGGGACTCAGAATAGCCACTAGCCACACCAGGATTTTTTCAAGATGAGTTGGGGTTGTGATGGGGAGCAAAGATCATACTGGGAAACGGATCAGGATCTCCCTAGGCTTGGGCTGCTGCAGAGACACTTATATATCTATGTAAAACAAAGAAAACAACTCACTGCCATCAAGTCGATTTGACTCATAACAACCCATCCTTGGGTTTCCGAGGCAGTATCTCTACAGAAGTAGATTGCCCAGTCTTCCTTCCGAGGAGTGGCTGGCTGGTGGGTTTGAACCACCAGCTTTCTGGTTAGCAGTCTTAGTTAGCCTTAGTCACTATGCTGCTAGAGCTCCTGTATACATACATACATACACACACACACACACACACACAAAACCCTCCAAGAGCGCAAGAAAGTCATAAACAGATACAATGAGAAGAGAGACAGTATCCTGGAAGAATTCAGGAAAATCATTCAAGAACAAAATAACAAAGTGTACACAGTTAGAACTCATACAAAAACAGCAATTAGAAATCCAGAAGGTGAACACTGAAATTACAGAGAGAGATAACACAGTGGAAGCACAAAAGAGTAGACTAGAACTAATTGAAGAACACATTTCCCAGCTAGAAGACAAAGCCTTTGATGCCAGCCTGTATGATGAAAAATCAGAACAAAAGATTTAAGAGAAATCAAGTGAACATAAGAGTTATATAGCATGACATGAAAAGAAACTACATACACTTGACTGGAATACTGGAACAAGGGGAGGCAAAAAAAAAAAAAAAAAACACTGAGGAAATTGTTCAAGACTTGCTAACAGAAAATTTCTCCATATCACGAAGGAAGAAAAGATATCCTTTAGGATGCTCAGTGATCCCCAACAAGATAGATCCCAAGAGAAAGTCACCAAGACATATCATAATCAAGCTTTCCAAAACCAAAGACAAAGAATGAATCTTGGGAGCAGCACAGGAAAAACGAACTGTCACCTGCAACAGACAACGATTAAGACTAAGAAAACATGCAGGCAAGAAGGCAATGGGATGGCAAATATAAAACATTAGGAAAAGAACTGCTAAACAAGAATTATATATCCAGCCAAACTGTCCATTATATATGAGAGTGAAATCAAGACATTCTAAGACAAACAGAAATTAAGGGAATTTATGAAAACCAGACCAACCCTACATGAAATAATTAGGGTGTCCTTCCAATAGAGATCTCACAGCAGAGAATAACAAATTAAAATCAAGACACTTGACACCAGCACCTGGAAACCAAACCAGAAAAAGATTCTCAAAATAAGCCCTTAAAAAAATGTAGAAGATACACCATATGATCTGCAGCCTATACGATGATGAGACCAGAAGAACTAGATGGTGCCCGGCTACTACTGTCAACTACTTGGAAGAGGATCTATGCAGGAGATCCTGGATAGACAGGGAGAACGATGTG